TTCTGAATGTTTCAGGGAATGTTCTGTGTGCTGGATCTTTCTCTTTTATGGAATATTTCAAGAAATGAGTGGATGTGGTGGTTTCTGTATAATAGACAGACATATGGATAGACTGATAACCAGGCATATTTATGGATCGACATATAGATGGACAGACAGATAGATGGATGGACGGATGGATGGACGGACGGACGGACGGACGGACGGACGGACGGACGGACGGACAGACAGACAGACAGACAGACAGACAGACAGACAGACAGGCAGATAGATAGATAGATAGATAGATAGATAGACCTACTTACCCAGAAAGAAATATTTGACATAGATCGGAGTTATGCAATCTCTGTTGTAGACCTCAACATCGAAGCAGCTCTTGCACAATGGTTTGACCTTCCAGACAAAAGATGTAGCCTGTGTTACTGCTGGCAGGTCTACACACAGTATATCCACACACAGTATATCCACACACAGTATGTCCACACACAGTTTGTCCACACACAGTATATCCACACACAGTATATCCACACACAGTATGTCCACACACAGTATGTCCACACACAGTATGTCCACACACAGTATGTACACACACAGTATGTACACACAAAGCTTACACCAAAAGATGAGAAGGACGTAGAGCACAAGGTAGACCAAGAAAATATGGAAAGATATCATCAGGGAAACTACAACAGCACGATGTGGGCCCAGAAGAGCAAGAAGCATTACCTTCCATGTCCCTGGACACCCGAAGCAGTAAGAAAGGAAGTGGATTGGTTTAAGGTCTATACACAGTATGTCTACACAAGACTAGCATCAAAAGAGGAGAAGGACATGAAGCATGAGGTAGACTAAAACAAGATGGAAAGATCAAATCAGAGAAACTTGACAACAACATGATGTGTCTGTGGTTGAGGCGGCCAGAAGAGGCAGAAGCAGAACTTTATGTGTCCATCGACACCCGAAGTGGTAAAATAGGAAGTGAGGAAGAAGTATGTCTGAAAGGCTTAACAATGTGTACTTTCTTTACTGCGATTGTTGGTAAAGCCAGTGATTAACACTTTCGGCGTCAGCAAAACATTTGTAATCAATGTTTGCAGAGAAGTGCAGCATTAAAATAGCCAAACTGGGTCGGAGGTAGCTCAAATAACACCGCGGATCAAAAGAGATAGGAAGCCGCTGTGTTGTGGCGACTAGACGCTAGCCTGGGACTTGAAGGACTTTATACTTGTTCCAGGATATGAGTTTTGCTTGCACATCCGTATTACAGATCTGGTGTATATGTAAGCAGACTATTGGTTCCTTGCCTCTCAGGCAAATGCACTCCGACTTCAAAGAAAACCTCTAATTAGTCGACTCTGACTCTTACGACATGCTTGTTAGGGAGGCAGTGGGTGTATTATTTTTCCTTCCACAATGAGACCCCAGAAACCAGACGCGGACTATCTTTTGCTATTTCACGATGTATCTATGTGAAGATAACTCCCACGATGTATCTATGTGAAGAAAACTCCCACGATGTATCTATGTGAAGATAACTCCCACGATGTATCTATGTGAAGATAACTCCTCCGATGTATCTATGTGAAGATAACTCCCACGATGTATCTGTGTGAAGATAACTCCCCCGATGTATCTATGTGAAGATAACCCCCCCCCCCCGATGTATCTATGTGAAGATAACTCCCACGATGTATCTATGTGAAGATAACTCCCACGATGTATCTATGTGAAGATAACTCCCACGATGTATCTATGTGAAGATAACTCCCACGATGTATCTATGTGAAGATAACTCCCACGATGTATCTATGTGAAGATAACTCCCACGATGTATCTATGTGAAGATAACTCCTACGATGTATCTATGTGAAGGTAACTCCAAAATGTGACATAGCAATAGAAGGGAAAGTGCTTAGCCAAGTCAATAAATTCAAGTATTTGGGAACATTCATATCATCAGATGGACGATGAGTGACAGAAATTAAGAACATAATTGGCCAGGCCAAGGCAGCATTTCAGAAAAGGAAAATTATTTTATGTAATAAATCACTCTCATTAAGCATCAGAAAACGAGTATTTAAATGTTAAACCGAGCCTGTTCTGTCGTATGGTAGTGGATCTTGGAATGTGAGCAAACAAATTAAGAAGAGTTTGGAGGCAACTGAGATGTGGTTCTTGAAAAGACTGTTGAGAATACCTTGGACTGCCAGAATAACCAACACTGAAAGCCTGGAAATGGCTAATGAAAGTATAACAAACGTTATATACAACAATGAGAATGAGACAAATACATTTCTTTGGTCATGTAATGAGAAAAAGAACACTGAAAAAATATCGTGACAACTGAAAAGATCACTGGTAGCAGAGGCAGACCAAGAGAAATGATGGTGGATGGCTTAAGACAGTGGCATGGAGGAATACCATCAGGGGAATTGATCCAGAACACCAAAGACCAAGATCTGTAGCGACGCATGAATGCCTACGCCAGTTGGCAAGGCACTTGATGATGATTAACTATGTGTGTGCTGTATGTTGTATACTCAGTGAAACCACGTTGATACGAATTCCAATGAATCGAAAAATGAGCTCCTGTTCTGAAATGCAGTAAATAAGGACAGCAGTGACATCTTTTTTTTTAAATTATATTTGTAGTCCTATAGCAGCGAATATCATAGAGTCAGCAGTTTCTGTTGACTGTCTGATCATTCCCCCACCCCCACCCCCTCCTCTTCCCTGACCTCTGTCAGTCCAGATGCAATGGACTTGATGTTTGCATGTGTGAGCACTGTCCGTTCAGCCAGATTCTGTATTCGGGTATTAAGGAAACTTTCATGATCGCATGAAAAAGAAAACACTTATTCAGTTGCATCCCCAGATTTGTTCGTAAATGGGAATGGCATGACAGAATCACTATGTACAGATATGGGAGAGGACGAAACATTCGAGCGAATCAAGAGGCGGAGAAACGTTGCAATATAACTAAAATGGCATTATATTGGAACCCACAGTGTCAGACACATCACAAACACACACGGGCGGAGAAGGATTTAAGAAAGGGAAGGAAAAAAGGGGTGGGGGGGGGGGAAACCAACCTGGGAAGAAAAAGGATGGGCTGCACGAAAAATATTTAATCAGAACAATACTGCTGTACGTAGCGGAAACATGGAGAACTAAAAAAGTTAGTTACTATTAAACTAAAAAGTTAATTACTCTTAAACTACAAACAGTCATTAACTTGCGCCTACGCAAAATAGAGGTAGGTATTCAATGGTATGATAGAATGACTAATGTTGAGCTTCGGGAAAGAACTAAACAAGTTCTAGTGGAGCTAAATGTGAAGAAAAGACACTGGCGCTGGATAGGACTCACGTTGAGAAAACCAGAAAACATATAACTAGAATGTCTTTGCACTGGAACCCGCAAGGGTATAGACATTGAGGTATACTATAAACACACGAAGAAGGGAGCTCGAGAGTGAAGTTAAAAAGATGGGGGGGGGGGGGAGTGGGGTAAACTGTTTACAATAGCAAAGGATAGAATGACTTGAAATAAGTTGGTTGGTTGAGGGCCTATGATCCATTGGGGGACAGAAGAAGAAGAGGACACACACGAATACACACACATATATGAGTGTGTATGAAAAGAGGTACAAATAATGACGTAGGCACATGTAACTATACAGAAAAATATTCATGGGGATGTTCAACTTACAATTATCGTGTAATTACCACTCGTCAGGTTTTCAAAGACATGCCCGCAACGAGGCTGTGGACACACAGAAATAAAGTTTATTGAAAAGTAATTTGCTTCAACGCTATATGGGTTTACACAAACCAGTGACTTCATCATATCCCTGGGCTCCAGAACCTTGTAGCCTTACTCTTTGGGTACCAGGCCACTTTTCTTCTTTTCAAAATTCATGCCATGTGGGGTTGGTAGTCATCTTTATCCACAGCCTTCTGTCTCATGTATTTTCAATCAACTCTGAGACAGATGAATTAAATTGTGCAGCATCATTTCTCTCAGTCTCCCTCTGCCTCTCCTTCTCTCCAACTTTCATATTGTCACTATGTACTCCAGTTTTCTCCTTCTTATCACTTGATCAAAGAATATAGATTGTCTCTTTCTAATGTTGGCAATCAGTTCTCTTCACGAGTCAGTTTCTTTCAGGACATCCCCATTACTATTTTTTTATGTGTCTTGGGTATTCTCATGCTTCGCCTATAAAACGACATCTCTGCAGCTTACAAATAATTTCTCACTAAATTACCAAATGTCCATGATTTACTTCCGTATAGCAAGATAGGATTTATATAGCTTTCAAGAATGATCGTTCTCATCACACGTCAGACGACTCATCTCACGTTTATTGATTGCTCCACGTATAGTGTACATTTCATATCATCTTCTGTCGCATCCGTCAGATGCGTTATTTTGTTGTATCCCGACTATCACTTTCTTCTTCTTTTGTGGTCTCACTGCTACCCGATTGTAGCCTACTGTTGTGGTTTTATGTACGTGTCTTGGTTTATGGATTTGTTCATCCTATTACAGGTTTCGGCTACACCATTTATCTATTTTTTCCTGGTCTTCCTCTCGCCCTCCTCCTAGATGTTCCGCTATAAAAAGTCTCATATGCAGTTTGTCCGCAAGAGTGTGTCCTATACGTATTTAATATTTCTCGTGAAGTAACAATCAATTACATCACTGCCGGCTTGCTAGGCCCGTCGCGTGGCAGGAAAAAAATCTGACCTGATCTGTGCCCGTCTCCTTCCAGGCCAGCCATTGCCCTCTTGCAGGCCAGCCATTGCCCTCTTGCAGGCCAGCCATTGCCCTCTTGCAGGCCAGCCATTGCCCCGTTAGCCTGAAACCTCGCGGCATCAGTTTTTTGGCGTGCACCAGACTATCGCTTTAACTCCACCTTATTCACCTTTTTTTTTAAAACTATTTATTGCTGAATTATTTAATGGATTCAAACAGCACATGATGCATGAAGTATGTCACTTGTGGGAAGGTATTGCCACTCTGAATGTAATGTTTATCCTGGCTCCTCTGTCATGGTACTCATTTGGAATACGATGCTGCCAGTCTGACTGTGTCCAGCCTTCCATAATGAGCAGTGAACCGCTTCTTAGAGGTATTTTAATAACTTGGCTATAGGTGTAGTCTCTTTCTCCGGATTCATTAGGTGGAGGCTTCTTTCGCAGCTCAAACACTCCCTCTTCGCCGAAGGACAGCGATACAATTGTAGGGTTCTTTCCCATGATTGGCTCATCGTCAGAGTGCCAGCCAATACTGTCATGGCCATCTCTGTATAAATTTGCAGCCAAAGAGTTGAACTCAATTCCAGTAACTTCCACCAGCTGATCTTTTAGGGTTTTCAACGCATTTGGCCACTCAGATGTATTAGCTTCCACTGTGATGCCAGCGTATGTGTATGGAAGCTCGTTATACCAGGCAGTCAGCCTGGGTTGAACAGCTCGGACCCCGCCATGAACTTCTGATCTCTGCTTCCAAGGTATTTCATCTAGTAATTCTGCAAAGATTGCTTCACTGCGTGATGGCTCAATGAAGTCAGGGAAATACCTCAACCTAGAAACTCCAGATGGTTCTGTGCTTATATCGTATGTGCCAGATTTTACTATAGTCAGGTCAGCCGGTTTTACTTGTATTTCCTGTTCTGGATCTTCAAATACAAGCTGTTGACTATTCTGTGATTTCTGGCCAATATTATTATCAGTCCACTGTGGAATACTTGACTCTGACAACTTGACAGAATGAGATTGAGCACTTGCCAGAACTTGCCTTTGTGTAACTATTCCAGTCACAGGGCTTTGGCTTGAAGCATGTGATGCCAAAACTGATTGTTTTGGTTTGCTAGCATTATTCTGTTTGCTCCCTGCACCTGCCCATCCTCCTTGTACTCTGGATTTTCTTCGCTTCTCTGCATTCATTTCCTCAAAAGTTTATCATTTGTGTCGTCCATACTTCTCCGATTAAGCGCAGCAGGAGATACTGGGGCCTGGCGTCATGATCCAGGTTGACCCACCTTTCGAGATTGATAAGGATGGTAACGGGCCGAAACAATTGTCGACCGAGGATCTTCTACTGATGACTAGTAGACTCCTGCCGTGTATGCTCCTCTGTGGAGTTCTCTTATTATAAAATGTTTTGAAGGCCTTGCAGATAGCGAGACTCTAGGCTCATTGCCACGACAGGCGAGTCCAGTAGCCACTCTAGTATCGACAGGACATTGCCACGACAGGCGAGTCCAGTAGCCACTCTAGTATCGACAGGCGAGTCCAGTAGCCACTCTAGTATCGACAGGCGAGTCCAGTAGCCACTCTAGTATCGACAGGCGAGTCCAGTAGCCACTCTAGTATCGACAGGATATTGACATGACAGGCGACTCCAGTAGCCACTCTAGTATCGACAGGCGAGTCCAGTAGCCACTCTAGTATCGACAGGCGAGTCCAGTAGCTACTCTAGTATCGACAGGACATTGCCACGACAGGCGAGTCCAGTAGCCACTCTAGTATCGACAGGCGAGTCCAGTAGCCACTCTAGTATCGACAGGCGAGTCCAGTAGCCACTCTAGTATCGACAGGCGAGTCCAGTAGCCACTCTAGTATCGACAGGACATTGCCATGACAGGCGACTCCAGTAGCCACTCTAGTATCGACTGGCGAGTCCAGTAGCCACTCTAGTATCGACAGGCGAGTCCAGTAGCCACTCTAGTATCGACAGGCGAGTCCAGTAGCCTCTCTAGTATCGACAGGCGAGTCCAGTAGCCACTCTAGTATCGACAGGCGAGTCCAGTAGCCACTCTAGTATCGAAAGGACATTCATTGAAAAGTGTCACAGTTCAGCCCCCTCATTTTATTCACTCCCGGATCGTACATCGAATGAAATTTGTTTAAGTGCAGGTTTCTTCACTTCCCGCTATTTCGCCGCAAACTCCTCTGGCACTACCATCATCCCCCTCCTCCTCCTCATTATTATTATTATTATTATTATTATTATTATTATTATTATTATAGGGAGCCGCCGTGGTGTACGGGCTAGATGCTCGCCTGCGGATAGGGAGGTCGTGGGTTCAGTTCATTTTTTTTTCCAAATGACCTTGGCCCTCCCAAGTCGACCCAGCCTTTAGTGGGTACCAGGTGTAGTCCTGGGAAGTAAATGTGGCAGGCGTGATGCTGACTATATCATCCACCAAGTGCCGTTTGGTTTATAAAATATAGATCAAGCTTTATATACCCAATACGCCTGAAAGTAGTGGAAAAGGGCCCTTTACTTACTTTTTACTTTTATTATTATTTAAGCATACCTCTTCTCCAGATGTGAGAAACCTTCAATGTGTTCTAGCACCTCCAAATGGTGCATGTTGACTGCTCTCTCTCTCTCTCTCTCTCTCTCTCTCTCTCTCTCTCTCTCTCTCTCTCTCTTCTCTCTCTCTCTCTCTCTCTTCTCTCTTCTCTCTCTCTTTCTGTCTATCAAGCTGTCTGGCTGGCTGGCTGTCTATCTATCACAAACACGCACGCACGCAGACACTTCTGAATGCTACAACGCAGCATTGACCTCTATTTCAGTCAAGTATAGATAAACACGTAAGCAGGTCCGTTGTCTGACACAGTCGCAATAACGACACACACAAACACACGGGTAGACACGAACATCGAGCACTGCATACTTTCTCTACTACAGTGCACAAAGTCGTCTCCGCCTTTGTGACACACGTATAGGTGCTGGGGATGGGTAGCTCCTCCTGCCGACAATAGTCCACGGTTAGACTTCTGAAGTTAGTGTCCGCTGTAACATTTAAGTTAGGAGACCATCTCAAGCAGGCATCTGTGGAAAAATAAGGAAACATTATTTGTCAAGGTGTAATGCAGAAAAACAGTTGCATATCCTGATTGCAGGGCCCGATCAAAGACCTTTTGATTTCCCTAAGCACTTAAAGTATGCTGTTGCCCCCCTCCTTTGAAATATTTTGGCGGCCCATCTCCCCTGTTTCTTTCCCGAGCCGTTTTAACAGCAATATGGGCCACTGGCTATCCATCGGTGTATTCTGAATTGATGAATAGCCACATGCCAATAACCAATAACGATAACCAGAAAGTGAACTAAATGTTCACCACAATCTATAAATCGATAATCTGGTACAAGTCATGTCTTAACAATGTGACACTTCTGCAACTAATTTGAGCAGTGCATTGTATTTAGCATAATCGCAACTTCTTATTTTGTAGACTTTCTATATCTACAGTGTTGTCTCTGGCACGAACTTAAATGTCTTTCGTAATTCACTCAGCGACCTGTAAAGTTCGGCTTCAACCGGTTTTTCGCTTGGCAGAAGTGTTGCTTTGATATGTTGTATTTGGAACAGTCTTGGAGGACGTGATGTCAATCCACACGTGCACATGGCTGATTCGCCAGTCTTAAATGTTGTGTAAATGTCACTGCGAAGTCGACTGCGTCCTGTTCTAAGGCGTAGAATAATAACTTGCTCTGGTCTGTCCATAATATGGTAATTGTCTTGTCTTTGAAATCTACTCGAATTTGTGTTTCAGTTTCTAGGATTCAGCTATTTGCTTCATTTTAATTAATTGTTACTGTAGTATGCACCTGATGAGATACAGCGAAATATGCGAGGCAATAAAATTGTGCGGAATGCCACTGGTTGTGAAATAGAATTGGTATATAAGCTTATCTGAAATATGTAGCAGTTGCTGAACTAGTGATCCTGTATTCCAGTTATCATTGAAACCAGTTGTTATTTAAAAAAAAAAAAGTTATGTGTGTGATTTTCTAGATCGATTCAGCATAAAGGGTGCACTGGAACATTTTTTTCATAAGGTGAAGGTGGTCAGTATGAACAGGACAGATATTTTAAGTGTGCCCAGACGTTGCGATAAATGAGTCAGAGACGATGAAACTGTCTGTTGGAAATGAATAATGAAATAGGACAGGTATGCAGAAAACAGTCGCAGTGCAAAGAAAGAAGAACTTCCACTGGGTACAGTAGACAAGGTGATACTGAGACGGCTGTTGCATCGGAGGCGGGGCACGAATTGGTCGGTCCGATGTGCTAGGATAGCAATACGGACAAGTAAAGGTGATCAGTGAGCTACTGACACAAACTACTTACGCCGTTTAGTTCTAAAATATGATATTAGCATTCAATAAGCCTCAATGCGGAGGAGAGTGGATCCTTACTTCCTTTTTGAATATGTATCATGGAACTGAGCAGAGGGTCTGGCCGGCTCACTACACTCAAAGGAAAGGCAAGTACGGACATATAACTAGATTGTCACCGGTACCATCAGTACTGGAACTCTGCGGTTGATGCTGAAGAGGAGGAAGGATCACGCATGGGAATGCCCCGAGTGCTGTGATGTCAGTTTTTGACACAACTCAACTCAACTTAAGCAGGTTTCAGACTGGAGTACAGGGCAAGGCATGAAAGATAGGGTTATAATAAAGTGGACTTACGAATAAGCAACACATCATCACTAATGTGTCCCGCAAGTTTTCCAGGCCATACATCATCACCATCATTGTCAAGGGTCTGTGTGGCTATGGGACGATTGTAAGCGATGATAGTGAATGACGGACTCGTACGTAGATGACCGCTGAGCGACTACGCGTTCAACAGTCCACGGGAGTTCCCGACTAGGATAGCGCGACGGTCAAGTGAAGACTCTAGGATTCACGGGATAGTGACTGAGCTCACAATGAACGGAAGACTGGGCACAACAAACTGAACATTCGGTTTTCTGGGAGTTGGCTCAGATATTTGGACTAGACATGTGTTTTGACAGTTAGGTTTTTCGTGACTGAGTTGAGTTAGCGATGGCTATTTTGTGATAACGTGTTAGCTTGATGGTATTATAATTTTCGTGTTAGTCGGTGTTACAAAAAAGATAGTCCACAGTGTTTAGTTATAGCTGTGTTCACTCAGGTACTTAGCTATGTCTAAGAGAGGTGGTTCGCGAACAGGGTTTGTTAATCAAGAAGCAGAAGACAAAAATGAGTTCGTGCGACGCGTGGCAATGACGAAGTCTCTCTGATCCCGCTACCGTGAGCAGTGCAGTAGCACAGCATTCACAGTGTAAGGTGCAGAGGCGTAGGAAAAATCTTGGATTGGAGGCTGTTGGTTATGACCCGGTTAATGTCTGGAAACCACTGGAAAACCAATGTTTGAGTGGCGATTGTAAAGCGCTCCAGCCGATTGGGGTTGGGTTTGCGAGCTCCCTGTGGGACAAACTGACGATCGCTTGTTGATTATCATATTAAAGGCTGATGTGTATGTTCTCGCGGTTTGGGTTAGCTGTGTCTGGGATAGACACCTCTGTCATGGAGCGTCCAACGAGATATTTGCCTTTAAGGCAGGAAGTAGCTCTCTGACAATTATCATCATCATTATCGTCGTAATCGTCATCTTCTTCTTCGTAATCCACTACTACTACTACTACTACTACTACTACTACTACTACTACTACTACTACTACTACTACTACTACTACTACTACTACTACTACTACTATTACTACTACTACTATACTACTACTACTACTACTACTACTACTACTACTACTAATGCTACTACTACTACTATACTTCTACTACTACTACTACTCCTTTACTGCTACTACTACTACTACTACTACTACTACTACTACTACTACTACTACTACTACTACTACTACTACTACTACTACTACTACTACTACTACTACTATACTACTACTACTACTACTACTACTACTACTACTACTTACTACTACTACTACTATTACTACTACTACTACTACTACTACTCCACTACTACTACTACAACTAAACTACTAATACTACTACTACGACGACCACCACCACTACTACTACCACCACTACTACTGCTACTACTATTACTGCTACTACTACTACTACTACTACTACTACTACTACT